ATTGGCCAGGCCTCATACGTCCCACCCCCAGCTCTAGGCATGAGGCTCCACCCAGACCACGCGTAGGAAGAATGGGGAAAGGGTGGCACAAACACAAAAATCCAGGGTTCTAGAGAGGAAACGGGGGCCAGGGAGGAAGAAAGAAAACAGCCACGTCAGCCCACTTCCCCCTCCGTGCTGAGTTCCCCATTTGTCTGTTGTTGGACAACGAGAGAATTTGTCAAGTCCTAGAGGTCTCAGTGGGGGCAGGGAGATGTAGATGCAAACTTCTCATGGGGTTTATGACTCATTCGTGCAAAAATATTCTTCTGGGAAGCCGTGTGGCTCAGTGGTTAGGGGCAGGGTTCACAAGCTGGGGCTTCCGTGTGCTGACTCTGTGGTTTGGGTCCTGGCTCCTCAGAGTGGTGTGGACCTGCAGTGTCTGCACAGCTAAGAGCTGGTGAGAAATGCAGCCTGTCCACTCCAAACCGCCAGCTCAGCACCTGCAGGTTAGCAAGATCCCCGGGTGGCAAGCTGGGGAGAACAGGGCTAGGGCAATCCAGCATCCATGTTCTCACTTTCTTTTTTTATTTAAAATATATACATATTTTATTGATTTTTTACAGAGAGGAAGGGAGAGGGATAGAGAGTTAGAAATATCGATCAGCTGCCTCCTGCACACTCCCCACTGGGGATGTGCCCTTGACCAGAATCAAACCTGGGACCCCTCAGTCCACAGGCCGAAGCTCTATCCACTGAGCCAAACCTGTTTTGGCCATTTTCTCACTTTCTTGACCTATCCAATAGAACAGCAGGCATCCCTCCTATCTCGTAGGTTTGTGGGTAAATCCAAACAACAGCGTATTCACTTAAAACAGCAGTAAATGTGCAATACAACGTTCACTTCAAATCCTGAGACTGTGGGCTCCGGATATGAATAGCATAGAACTCTTCAAACGCTTCCATCAAAGAATCCTAGCAGACCGGGGCTTGGCAAACTGTTCCTGCAAAGGCCCAGACAGTAAATATTTCAGCGCGTGGGCCATATGGTCTCAGCTGCAACTAGTCAACCTTGCAAAAGCAGCCATCTGGGCTTCGCCGGGCTCCAATAAAACTTTATTTACAAAACAGATTTGGTTCGCGGGCTCCGGAGCTGAGGTCTAGCGCGAAGCAGACTCCACAGCAGTAAGATGTCTCAGCCTTCATCTGGGAAACCTCGTCTGAATGTGGTAGCTTCCTTCATAGCATCGCTGGCTCCAAGTCCACTCTCTCTCTTCCCACCCAACCTTCACGGAAAACCGAAGCTTCGGGTAGATGCTCCGTGTTTATTCTCTGTCTTTACATACCCCCGCTGGGCGCACCACCACGAGAAGTTTTGCAGACACTTGCCCCAACCTCCAAAGAGGGAGCGTGGGGGAACTGGCCCCCAAGGCCTGCTGGGAATGAGGCTGCCCCTCCTAAGGAACAAGGGGAGAGGGAAGATTTGCTAATAGGAGTCAGTGTCTGTGTGAGGCCACTGGGATTAGCCAAAGTGTGGGGCCAGTAGACGTAATCACTCCAATCACAAGCTGCTGTGATTTCACAGGGAAACGGAGAGGGGGGCAGGTGCCCATTTCACAGATGAGGAGACTGAGGTTCTGAGAGGTTAAGTGAATCAGTCTCGGTTGCTGCCTGTCAGGGGCAGAGTTCAGCGCTCCAACCCCGAGACTTGACCAGCCAACCCCCAGACCCTTGGACACAGGAGGCATTCCAGCCACAACCCGCAGGGCCATGTAGCTGGTCCCCAGCTGCCCCCACACGTGTGAGCAATAACTCCTGCCTGGGATGCCATGGAGCAGGCGTCTTCAAACTGCGGCCCGCGGGCCACATGCGGCCCGCAGAGGAGTCTGATCCGGCCCGCCAGGTTTTTTGGGCAGTGAGCGCAGCCGAGGTGTTACAGTAGGAATTAGTAGTTCATATAGTCTGGCCCTCCAGCTCTCTGAGGGACCATGATCTGGCCCCCACTTTAAAAAGTTTGAGGACGCCTGCGGAGGGTCTGAGGCTGGTTGGTACGCAGCGTTATTAATTGTGCCGGCAGTAGCTGGTGCTTTGTGAACGTCGGTGAGCCACAATCTCCTCTCCGGTTTCTGTCTGTCGGGCTCGTTGCCAGCTTTGCTCAGCTCACCCACAGCCTGCACCCCCCTCCCCTCTGACAGGGCCAGCAGAGGGCTTCCATGTAGAGGGGCGCCTTAAGGTTTGGGGATTCATGGCAGAATAATAGGGGTGCCAGCCACACAGGTTCTGGAGTCAGACCACCTGGGTTCAGGACCTGGTGCCCATCACCAGCAGGGTGGTGGCAGGCACGTTTCTAAGCCTCTTTGAACCTCAGTTTGCTCATCTGTAAAGGGGGGTAATAATCAGGCTGTCATGGTTAGTGACTGAGACAGTGCATGGAAAGTGCTTGGCTGGTGCCTGGCACACAGAATCCCTGGGGCTCACTGCGCGCCAGCCATGGCGACTGCATCAGACACACACACGGTGGAATTCTAGCGGCTGCTGGCACGGGGCTCCCAGAAAGTGGGGTCAATGCCTCAGTGCCCCTTTCCCTCGCTCCCAACCACCGGTTTGTGATTTCTTGGGCAAATTGTCGTCACTGCAGCCAGAGCCCAGGAGTCCTTCCTGCCCAGCCCTTCCTCCCCCCACCCCCCCACAACCCCACCTCGGACTCTAGGTTTCTCCAGAAGAGAGGAGAGACGGTGTACGTATTTCCTGTTGCTGCCTCAACAACTTACCGTGCCTCAGTGGCTCCAAACGCAGACCTGTGTCCTCTCACAGCTCCGGAGGCCAGAGGGCCACACCGGTGTCCCTGGGCTACACCAGGCCGGTCCCTCCTGGAGGCCTCGCAGGGAGCCCTGTCCCCGCCTTTCCCAGCTTCTAGCTAGAGGCCGCTGCCTGCTCGGCTCCTGACCCCTCCCACGTCCACGAAGCCAGCACCTTCGCATCTCCCGGCCCCGGCCCCGGACCGGACCGGACCCGGACCCGGACCCGGACCCGGACCCGGACCCGGACCCCCTGCTTCCGTCCTTAGACCTCCTGACTCTGACCCGCCCGCCTCCCTCTTATCAAGGCCCTTGTGGTTGCATCGGGCCCACCTGGCTAGTTCAGGACACTCCCTGGCCCAGGAGCCTTAAATCATTCACACCTGCTAATCCCTTTGGCCCTATCAGCGAACCTCACAGGTTCTGGGACGGGGACCTGGGCCTCACATACACACTGACTCCTGGACACAACAGTGGGTCCTGTCCCTGAATTTCAGATTTGTGTTCTCGTCGAACAAACAGAACCATGGCTTATGTTTCAATGTTTATTAGCTAATGCCACCAGGTGTGCCAATCCACCCACATTCCCACAAGCTGTCTGGGCTGGGGTCTGGGGCTGCTGTTTAACACCGCACAGGCTGGCCTTCTTACTGAGTTCCCGAGCCCCCTCTCTCCTTTCTGTCACAGCCTTGGACGGGGCCACAGTGATGTTTGCTGACAACTGGCTTAGACCAGTGGTTGGCAAACTGCGGCTAACGAGCCACATGCAGCTCTTTGGCCCTGGAATGCGGCTCTTCCATAAAATACCACGGCCTGGGCGAGTCTATTTTGAAGAAGTGGCGTTAGAAGAAGTTTAAGTTTAAAAAAGAAATTTCAATCGTTGTACTATTGATATTTGATTCTGTTGACTAATGAGTTTGCCGACCAGCTGGCCTGGACCATTGCAGCCGGCCTTCCTGTCTCCAAATCACCCTCCATCCGTCAGATGAACACCCCAGAGTGTGCATTGGGCCACAGCGGTCGCCTCTCTACCTAAAACCCTCGATGGCTCCCTGTTACCCTGCAAATAAAGTCCCGACACCCCCACCATGGCTCTCTCTTTGCTCATGCTTGCGTCACATCTCCTGCCCCTCCCTGCCAGGGTGACCAGCCACCCAGTGTGCCTGGGACTGTCCTGGTTTTGGCGCCGAGAGCCTCATGTCCTAGGAAAGGACTCGGCGCCGGGACTGTGAGTCACCCTCCCTGCCCCGCACCGCGGGCTCTGCAGCACCAGCTGCTTGGAGCTATTTCTCTTGTCGAATGAGCCGTCTTTCTCAAATGAGCCGTCCTTCTCGAATGAGCCTTGGCGTGGTGAGGCAGGAGGGGGTCTCCTGGGAAAGCTGGGCAGCTCATGGACCAGCCACAGGGCGGGGCAGCCCAGGGCTCGCCCAGGAGGTGCTGGGAGTTCAGGGCGGGGGGGGGGGGGCACCTCCCTCTCTGGATCAGCACCTTCTCAGGAGCGCTGTGGTCAGGGGTCAGGGCCCCAGCTCGGTCTTCCCTCCGTGGACACTGGGCCCCCCTCTTTCTTGGCCACATTTGCCCCCAGTGGCCTCGGGAGGGCCGCCGTGGCAGGCCCTTCGCTGGGTAGACTCTGCTCCTGTGACCTGCCCGGCTCCCTCCTCTCTCTGGGCCTCAGTTTCCCGGCCTGTCTAATCCGGTGAACGTTTTTCCAGCTCTGACTGCTGTGACGGTGTGTGTGGCAACCATTGCTTTCCTCAAACCTATACCCCGGAGGGCTGGGCCAGGCCCTCCCCCTCCGCCTGCACCCTCCGTGCCAGCTGCTCTGGGGTAGCTGTCCCTGGGCAGCGGGCACCCTCCTGGGACTGCAGCCTGAGCCAGCGAGGCTGTCCTTGGGGAGACCCCTCCTCCACCGGCAGCTGACCCGCCAGGCTTGTCTGCGGGGGGGGGGGGGGGGGGGGGGAGGGGCGTGGAGGGAGAGACAGGATCAGGAAGATGATCAGGGCCACAGTGGTGAGAAGTTGGGGGCAAGTGTCTGGTGTGTCCTCACTCATATCCCCTCCGCTAGCACCTCCAGGACCAGGAGCAAACTCCAAGGCCTGACCAGCCTGGCTGGGGGCTGGGGGGGCTCTCTTTGCATTCCCAGTGTGGGATGACCCCCCACTTTTCCCCCACCCAGGGCCCGGGAACTGCTGTGGAGACACAAATCAAGAGTGAGGCGCTGGCTCAGGCAGAGAGGTTTATTGTGGTTGCGGGGGGTTGTGGCCGTGGCTCCCGAGGACGGATCACTGCTGCATTTTCTGCGGGAGCAGAGGACAGGGTGAGCGTGTGTGCGCTCGCGTCCCTGTCCCCTGTGTCCCCTGTGTCCCCCGTGTTCCCTGCTGCCAGGGCCGGAGGGCCGCCCCGGACTTGACAGCCAGCCTCCCTCTGCCCAAGGGCTCCGCACCCCTCCCCCCGGGGGCTTCGACTCCGAGCACATCTGCCCCCGCCCCCCACGGGAAAGCTGCGGTCGAGTGACCCCCTGCTCCTGTCCTCAAGGCCTATGTGGCCGGCCCGCTGCCCCGCTCCTCTGCTGAGCCCCGCTCTCCGGGGGCCACGTTTCTCTTTGGGGGACCGGTGTGGTGCCCGGGACCCGGACACGAGGATTTGCTGAAGCAAAGGGAGGAATGGGCATGACCGGGCCCATCACTTGACTCAGGTACAGCAAGCACGCAGTACTTCTTGAGTGAGCACATGAATGGATGACTGGGAGCAAGCACCGAATGAATGAATGATGGAGTCAGCCAATGAATGAGTGAATGAGTGAATGAGTGAGGAGTGAGTGAGTTGGTACGGAGTGGGGGTGTGAGGGCGAGAGGCTGGTGCATGCCAGGAGGAGGCCGGGGGGCGGGCACGCACCTCGTTGATCCAGTCGATGTAGGCGGACACGCGGGTGTAGACGGCGGGCTTCTTGAGGGTGTTGCAGCCCAGGCCGGAGCCGAAGCTCACGATGCCCCGCACCTCCCAGGAGCCGTTCTCTGCCTGGCAGTTGAGCGGGCCGCCGGAGTCCCCCTGCAGCGGACAGGCCATCAGTCCCAGGCCCCCCAGGCAGGCTCAGGGAGCCAGGGCAAATTGGGGTGTGGGCTCCTCACAGCCTGTACCCCCTCCTTTGTCCTCAGCCTGTCCATGGTGAGGGGGGCAGAGAAGAGGTGGCGTGGGGCCATCTTGGCCTCCTTCTAGGAGGCCCTGGGGTGTCTAATGAGCTCCTGATGTGCTGTGTGACCTTGGGGTGACGGTAACCCTCTCTGTGCCTCAGTTTCCCTAACTGTTCAGGTCACCATGTCCAGAGAGAGATGCCCAGCGGGGTGAGGATGCTGGGAACTATCTTGGAGAGCCGGTGACGTGAGGCAGGGGGAGAGGGGCCGTGTGTTTGAAAACGGGACAGTCCCTGATTGTCCTACGTGTCTCCTGGGTCTGTGTCAGACTCCCTGAGTCCCCGGTCTCCCTGGACGATGGAGCAGATGGCGTGTACAGAAACATGTACAGGGACTTCCAGGAAGCTCCTTCTCCCCTTGCTAGACTCGGTTACTCGTCACGGCAACCCCGTGAAGCGCCCCCTCTATGCCACTCTATGTCCGTGTGTTTACTCGGCCGCCCGGACAGGCCGCGGTGCGGGCCCGGCACTCACGTTGCAGGCGGAGGTGACGCCGTCGCCGCCGGCGCACACCATGGTCTCCCTCACCATGGCGCCCCACCAGTCGCTCTGGGTGCAGGTGGCGTGGTCCACCACGGGCTGCAGACCCTGCTGCAGCTCCTCGGCGATGGGGCCGTTGGCTGTGGAGAGAACGGCGGTGAGGGGCATCCCGGCCTTCCAGGTGAGGGGGCTGGGGTAGGTCCCCGGGGGGGGGGGGTTGTGGGAACCACACATGGGCTTTAGTGGAGAGGAGAGAGGCTCTGAGCCCATGGCCTCAGACTGTGTGGCTGGGGCCCCACGGGGAGGGGAAGGGAGGGCAGGCTGGAGGCGGGACCAATCACAGAAAGCCCTTGGAGGGGGTTCCGGGGTTCCGTTGTCACCCGTTTCCTTGTGAGATGCTGCCGTGATGCCGCACAGTACACGGTCTTCCTCACCCCACGATTTCCCAAGTATTGATCTGCATTTCCCTCCTGGTCCTCCACAGTCCCATCTATTTGCATTTAACCTTTTCATCTGGCTGGAACTTATCGGGCGTGTGGTACCATAAGATCTAACCCCCCACCCCCCAAAAGCTTGTTGAGCTTATTGAATAGTCACTTATACGGCACTTAGTATGTGCCAAGCCTTGTAGAAGCCCTTGACCGATTCTAATCCATTTGATCCTGGTAGCACCCCTTCTTACACAGCTGTTAGAGTGTCTGCTACTTAATCAATACCAGCTGTCGTTGACAACGTTAAGAGAATCTGAAGAAGAACAGTGATGGGCAAAGGGACTGATGTGCTTGTCGGGAGAGCCACTTCCTCCAGGAAGGCTCCCGGGATTTGCCAGGGGGCGGTACTCACTCCAGAGGCGGCCCCAGCCGGTCACGTAGCAGGGATAGTCCCGAGCCAGCATGGCGCCCTCCTTGGGCAGGCAGGCCAGCTGGATGGTGTCACTCAGCTCCACGGGCTCCGCCAGCTTGATGAGGGCGATGTCATTGCTGGAATTCAGGGCGGAGGACTGACTGAGCAGGAGGCCTTGGCTCCCCCGCCCGCCAAGGCGGAGGGGCCTGGCTGTGAGCTGAGAGGCAGCTCAGGGTGACTGGGGTCCTCCCTGAACATCCTGACGGACCACCAGCTTCTTACTGGCTGACAGATGTCAGAGGACAGAGATCTGCCTTCTCACACCATCACCGCCTGCCCCTTTAGATGTGGATGAAGCCTTTGGCACCAGCAGGTTAAGTACCCACCAGCAATTAACAAAGGTAAGGAGGGAATTACAAGGATAGAAGAGAGACGCCTGTGGATGCAACTTTTAAAATGTTTTCCTGTTGCCAGGAGGAGAGCTGGCAACCTGAACAGGCCTGGTCTGGTTTCTAGTTCTGACAGGTTCGGCCTGTGTGACCCAGGACCTAGTCCCGAACCTCTGACCTCCTCCTGAAGCACCGTTGTGAGGACTGAATAAGAGACGGCACAGAGAGCGCTTATTGCAACACGCAGGCTCTCCGTGAAGGCCAGTGCTGGCTCAGCCCTGGCTGGGGGGCTGCAGGCCAGACTCACGGGGGGCGTGGGGTGGCTCCCTGCGTACCCCTGGGGCTCCCTGGCCCACGACGGAGGCGGGCAGGGTGTCTGTCCCCACTGAGCATTTTGCCGTTTTGCGTAAAGGAGTCGTCCGCTGGCTGCGCAGGGTGAGGATGGGGCCGGGGGTCAGGGTGCAGGCAGGCTCTGTAGTACTGCCTTGGGATCCCCTCCTCCTCCCCCCGAGCCGCCCCCAGGGGCGTGAGATGTCCGAGGGAGGAAAAGTGATAGGCAAATTGGCTGATGTGCTTGTCAGGAGAGCCACTTCCTCCAGGAAGGCTCCCGGGATTTGCCAAGGGGCGGCACTCACCGCACCAGGAAGGAGTTCCACTTCTCGTGGACGAAGATGGTGTCCACGTCCACGAACACGGAGCCGGGCTCGTCGTCCACGGCCAGGTTGTTTTTCCCCAGGCCCACGCGGTAGGTCTTGGATTTGCTGCATGGAGGAGGGGGGCTGGTCAGCGTGGCCTCCCGCCCCGTTAGCCAGCCGGGTGGAGAGGGAATGCCCCCCCAGCCCGATTGGCTCAGTGGACAGAGCGCCGGGCCTCGGACGGAAGGGTCCCGGGTTCGATCAAAAGGGCATGCACCTCTTTTGCAGGCTTGATCCCTCCCCAGCCCTGGTCAAGCCTGTGTGGGAGGCAACAATAAAGATGTCCTCTCTCTCATCGATGTTTCTCTCTCTCTCTGCCTCCCCTCCCTTACACTCTAAAATCACTGGAAAAATATCAACAAAAACATATAAATAAAAATAAAATTAAATTAAAAAAAAAAAAAGGAAACTCAGAGCTTCGGTGCAGTCATTTGGGGGACGGGAGTGTCCATCCCCGTTGAACCTTCCCACCAGAGAAGGGCCCTGGCCAAGTCCACTTTGGGTCCTAGGTGTGTAGCCCCGGACCTCAGTTTTCTCATCTGTAAAATGGAGATGACAGCGGAACTCCCTTGCAGGACTGCTGTGAGAATCAGTGGCTTCCTGCCTGCATCATCTCACCTGCGTTTCTCTCTAACTCCCCTCCTTCGCCGCCCGCCCCCTCCCCCGCCCACTGCTTCTGCAACCCCAGCTTCCTCCTCATTCCTCAGACGTACTGAGTGCCCTCCCTCGGGCCTTCGTAGGGCTGTTCCCTGCACCTGCAGCCCCCTCCCCCCGGACCGCGAGTCCTCGTCTCACTTCCTGCGGGTCTTTGCTCGCATGTCCCCTTTGCAGAGCGAGCTTCCCTGGCCTTTAAAATGGAACCCCTTATACTTTCTACTCTCTTCCAGCCTGGTCTCCTCACTGACATCTGACATGTTACACAGTCACTTGTTTAATGGTCTGTTGCTCTGTCTTCTGCTAGAATGTAAGCTTGCAGAGAGCACAGGTGTCATCCTGACTGCTGTATCCCCTGGCACACAGTAGGTGCACAGTAAACGCTGTTGGCTGGAGAAATGACAGCGCGGTTACTGGAGATGAGCGGCTTACTGCGCGCCGTGCCTGAGTGTGTGGTAGGTGCTCACTAAAAGCAGCCCCTCAGGTCCCCCCAGGCCCCCGCGCTGGGCGTCTGCCCTGCTCACCTGATGCAGTGGGCGGCCGTGAGGACGAAGTTGTTGGAGATCAAGGTGCCACCGCATGTGTGCCTCCACGTGTCGTCCTTCAGGTACTGGAGGGAGATCTGGAGGAGGGGCCTCGTGTCAGTCCACAGGGACCCCTACCCCACGCCCCTCTCCTCCCCCCTCCCCCTCCCCCCCTCCCCACCTCCCTCCTCCCACGCCTGCAGCAGTACTGACCTGCCAGGGCCAGCTGTGGGGCACGGCATTGTCTCCGCCCACCACCCGGGCTACGAGGTTGGGCTGGAAGGTGGGGACCCCGCAGCTGGAGGCTGGGGGAGACAGGGGAGGAAGAACACAGGTGAGGAGGCTGGCATCGCCTCTGGGGAAGGGGCAGGGGGGGACGTTGGGGCTGGGCAGACACGGGTTCAGATTTTACTGGGTGACTCTGGGGGAGCCCTCTAGATCTTGGGGCCTCGGCTTCCCTGTCTGTGAAATGGGAAGAAGAGCACGGACCGGGTGTGCTGGTCCTGGGCACAAATCAGGCCGCGAAAGGCCTGGTGCAGAGGGACCCAACGGTGGCTGGCGTGCGTGCGCGTGCCGGGGACCAGCAGGGTCCTTCATTCTTACCCTGCTGTTCCTTTTTAGGCCACAGCGTAATGGGTGTGTGTGTGTGTGTGTGTGTGTGAGCACTGACTGTCATCGCTGGGAGCTGTGTGGCATGGTCAAGAGCATGAGATCCACAGGGAGACAGACCCAGACTCAAATTCTGGCTCTACCACCGAGCAGCCACGTGACCTTGGGCGAGCTAAGGAGCCTCGCTGAGCCTCAGTGTCTCATCTGTAAAGTGGACGTGCTGACAGACCCTGCCTTCCAAGGTCAGGTTAGCTCCTGCACATGGAGGGCTCAGCACAGGCCTGGCACAGAGTGAACACGCATAAACAGGAGGTGCTATCATTATTTCTGCCGTGGTTGTTAGCTGGAAGGACTCTACTACAAATAATTTTTAAAAAATTGATTTTGAGAGAGGGAGGGAGAGAGGGAGAGAGAAACATTGATGTGAGAGCAGAGAAACATCGATCAGTTTTGTCCTGCATGACCCTCACCGGGGATTGAGCCTGCAAGCCGGGCATGTGCCCTGACCAGGGACAGAACCAGCAGCTTTTACTCAGGGGTCCTCAAACTTTTTAAAGTGGGGGCCAGATCACGGTCCCTCAGAGAGCTGGAGGGCCGGACTATATGAACTACTAATTCCTACTGTAACATCTCGGCTGCGCTCACTGCCCAAAAAACCTGGCGGGCCGGATTAGACTCCTCTGCGGGCCGCATGTGGCCCGCGGGCCGTAGTTTGAAGACGCCTGTAAGGTGCAGGAGAACCACACCAGCCAGGGCAGGACTCTTAATCAAGTGCTCTCTCTCATCTGCCAAAAGAGCCAGTGAGATTTAAGAGGTGAAGTGGCTTGTCTCGGTCCTGCCGAGAGTGAGTGGCATACAAGCCACGCTTGTTGATTCCTAACTGGGCAGAAGGCCACCAGCACGGGGAAGGAAAGAATCCCCAAGGGAGAGATGCCTACGCTGGCAAAGGCCAGCCCCGGCGGTCCCTGAGTGCCCAGGGTGAGCGCGGGCCTGGGGCCCTCCACGCCTCCGCTCTATCCTCACACTGGGAGGCCAGATCATCAGCTCTATTTGCAGAGATGGAAGCCAAGTGGGCAAGTGGCTCATCTGACACACAGGGGGTCAGCAGTATCTGAACCCTCATAGGACCCCAAAGCTCCTTTCCTGTACCCACCCCCCCACCCTCTGAGAGCAGAGGGCCCCCTGCTCCGGTCCCTGTTCCTGGGAAGTTCAAGCTCAAGGCCATGGGCTGCAGCTGGTCCCCGACCCACAGCTTACCGCAGGCCAGGAGCGCGGCGAGGACGGTGAAGCCCAGCATGTTTGCGTGCTCAGGAGCGAGTGGCCGGTCCCGGCGGGAAGGGCCCATTTATAGGGGGCAGCGGGGAGAGCCCACTGGTCAAGGCTGAGCCACTTCTTGGAAAGAAACCTGCTCCCGCAAGGCCCTTTCCCTGACCTTGGGTGGTTACTGTTTAATTTGGGCAGGAGACAGGGCTGGCTCGAGGCATGGATTTTCCCAAATAACCGGGGAGAGCAAATTCTGAGGTGGGCAGGTTTGGGGGGCCCCCACCACTCTGCCAGGAGTGTGTTTTTCTCTCTCCCTGACTCATTCTTTTAGGTATTAATTACTGAGCACCCACTGGGTGCCAGGCTTGTGCTCAATGCTTCTTGCATGCACACAATTATCACAACAACACGAAATAGGTATCTAACCTGCTCATTAAAGATGAGGCAGCTGAGACTTGCGGGTGTGGGGCCATCCATGGTCACTCAGCTGGGCAACACAGAACCGGTTCAGGGCTTTACTCTGCCGATACACCCATCCCTTCTGTCATCATAGCTTCCTCTCATTTTCTTCTCTTCCTGTTGTTTCTCTTTTTCTTCCTCCCTCATTCAACTAGTATTATCTGGGTTTTGGTCATCCCTGATCTCCAGTACCTCCTCCCGGGCTGAGAACAGAGCCTGAGGCGTGGGCATCTCCCGGCCAAATTCTGACCTGGAGCCAGCTCCGTTGTCTCCCTGCAAGGCCCTCAGTCTCCCCATCTCTAAAATGGGCAATTATTGGGGTAGAACCAGACACACTCTTGGGTTCCTGCCAGTCCTAAGCTTCCACGACTGGAACGTCAAGGTTGAGCGGCAGACCTGGGTCTATGGCCCTTGGTGAGGATCTCGTGATGGTGTCAGTGGTTCCATCAGTCTGGGGTTAGTCTGTCCCTTAGAGCATCTGGTTTAACCCATTGTTCCCAAGGCACGGCCTCAGCCTGGGGGGTTAGCTTCTGCTCTTGGATGGCCAGACGGTGAGGCGCTGACATACATACCAGCACCCAGAGGCCACCCATTCGTTTGTCCCACATTCGCTGAGCACCTCTTGTGGAGGCCCTGTGCCAGGGCTGGGACCTCAGGGACACTGAGACCCAGTTCAGCACCGCTGAAGCCCCTTGCGGGGCAGGGTGGTGAGTGCTCCTGGGAGTGTCCCTGAACCAGAAGTTAGTTTAGGATGGGAGCTTGATGGGGTGTGAGTTGGAAAGGATTCCTTCTCTACAGATTCCAAAATGCACTCGAGGACTTGAGTGGGGCTGCTGTCCCAGGCTAGGCCCCACCCGCTGAGGGAGCGGGGCCTGGGAGGATCTGGGACCTCAATGACCCCCAGCCACGCGGGGTCAGACTGCGATGGAAAAACACCCAGATGACTCGGTGGACGCTGGGCTTCGAAGAGGGGGACCTCAGGAGAAGCAGGCCAAGGTCAGGGAGGCAGCGTGAGTCTGAAAAACAGCAGGTGCCATTGATCGGGGCCCATATCTCCCCGCTGCTGGGACAGAGCAGGCTGGTGGCAGCTGTTACATCTCAGGTGAGGTCCCTGAGGGGGCGGGCTGTGGGGCTGGCAGGTTTCTCCTTAAAACAGGATGGCCCTAGCAGTTTGGGCTCAGTGGATAGAGTGTAGGCCTGCAGACTGAAGGGTCCCAGGTTCAATTCCGGTCAAAAGTACATACCGTGGTTGCAGGGCCATCCTCAGCCTGGGCCCTGATCAGGGCTCATGCAGGAGGCAACCGATTGACGTGTTTCTCTCACATTGATATTTCTCTCTGTCCGGGTAAGGATTAAAAAGACCTAACCCGCACTCCCCCCAAACCCACGATGGAATACTGGGAGTTCAGAGAGGGTCTGGGGGCTGTGAGGGGAAGGCTTACTAAGGAATGGGACCAGGGAAGGGTTTTAAGGAGCTGTGTCCTTTCTCGCTCTTTTTAAAAAATATATATTTTCATTGATTTCAGAGAGGAAGGGAGAGGGAAAGATAGATGGGAACATCAATGATGAGAGAGAATCATTGATTGGCTGCCCCCTACTGGGATCGAGCCAGCACCCCAGGCATGTGCCCTTGACCGGAATTGAACCTGGGAAACTTCAGTCCTCAAGTTGACGCTCTATCCACTGAGCACAACCGGCTAGGGCTCCCTTCTCACTCTTTAAAAAAATATATATTTTATTGATTTTTTACAGAGAAGAAGGGAGAGAGATAGAGAGCCAGAAACGTCGATGAGAAACATCGACCAGCTGCCTCTTGCACATCCCCTACAGGGGATGTGCCTGCAATCAAGGTACATGCCCCCGACCGGAATCGAACCCGGGACCCCCAAGTCCGCAGACCGACGCTCCACCACTGAGCCAAACCGGTTTCAGCTCCCTTCTCACTCTTGATCCCCAAATCACTTCAGGCTTCATTCCTCAGCCTGTGCCCTCTGCCCAGGCTGGGAGTCGGGCGGGGGTGGGGGGTGGGAAGGAGGAGAGGGGGTGGGGAGAGCGCGTGTCTTGTGCAGGGTCCCCTCCCAGCTGTGACCCATTGGGGAGGCCCTGACATGGGACAGCGCAGGCTCAGGGCATCCTGGCCTTTAGTACCACCGATGTCCACCCGGGGGCAGTAATGCCCAGCCTAAACCCAAAGTCCAGGGACCCCGGGTTGGACCTGGGAGAGGGAGTGCTTTGATGCCACTTCCAGCCACAGCGATGTGCACCACGGCCCCATGAACATGTATGTCCCCCTGAACTGGCTGGGGGCACGGGCTGGGGGCTCAGTGGCCCTTGGCCTGCACCCTGCTTGCCTGTGGGACATTTTCTGGGTCTCCCTGTTCTTTAATATATTTTATTAAATTTTTTTTACAGAGAGAAAGGGAGAGGGATAGAGAGTTAGAAACATGGACGAGAGAGAAACATTGACCAGCTGCCTCCTGCACACCTCCTACCGGGGATGTGCCCGCAACCAAGACACATGCCCCCGACCGGAATCGAACCCGGGACCCCTCAGTCCACAGGCCGATGCTCCATCCACTGAGCCAAACCGGCTTCGGCCCTGTTCTTGTCTGGGAAAGAAGCAGCACCCCCACCCTGGGCTGGCTGTGAGGATTAAGCGCGTTAACCTGTATCCAGTGTCAGCAGGCGGACAGCAGACTCCGCCTCTCCCGTTAGGAAGGGCCCCTCACCCCTGGCTTCCGACACCACAGGAGCCCCCTGGCACCCGGGTGACCTCAGCCCTCGCCCCCTCCCCACTCCCGCCCTCCCCACCAGCCGACAAGAACCACGTGCACATAAGAATATAGAATTTTTATCTTATTTTAGTTTAAAAAAAATAATTGTACCACCGAATGAAGAAGTAGCTCTTTGGGGGAGTGGGGAGGAGAAGGGAGAAGAAGAAGAAAAAAAAAAGCAACAAGCCAAAGAAAAAGAACTTCTTATATTCATCTGTGTAAACAGATCCACTAAGGCAAACGCAATCCAGGGCCGGGGCCGCCGCGGGGGTCAGGGCCCCCTTGCTTCTGTAGATTCTAAGGCCAAAAAAATAAAACCTCTGCATGTCCGACGGGGATTCTTAGACTCTTGGGGGCATTTTTACTAAAATAAAGTTATGGGGTCTGAACAGCAGGGGGCGCTGTCGGGACATACACCAAGAAGTTGCATAACCGTGGCCCCGGCGGCCGTTCACTGGTTGGGACTGGGTGGCGGGCACAGCTTCACGACACAGCGACAGACACACACAGACACGCACACACGTGAGCGAGCACATGGGGGCCGCGCGGGACTGGGCCGGCGGCACAGGGGGGCTGGGGTCCCCATGCTTCCTCTGGGTGGGTGGGGGAGGGGGGGTGACAGGACAGTCCAGTTGCTGGTGACAAGGCCGTGGAAGTCCCTCTGGGGAAGGGGGGTGTGAAAGGCCCAGGGAGGTCCCCGGTTCCCCACGGCCTGGTCCGTGCAAACCTCTTAAAGCACTTCTGGGGCGCCTCCTGGAGGGCGGAGACGTCACTGGTTTCCTTCCTGTGAGGGGCGCCCCTGACCCCCACCCCCCTGCTCTCTCCAGAGCTCCCTGGGACCCTCAGACTGTCCCCGGGGACTAGGTGGTGTTCTGCCCCCGGAGCCTTCCCTGCCATGGCTGCGAGAGTGAGGTAGATTGACACAGCTGTCCCCTCACCCTGCCTGGCTGGGCCGAGCACTGGGGTGGCATGGGGTGCCAGGGCCTGGTCCCTTCACAAAAATAGAAGCCTTTCCTCTGCTTGCCCCCCCCACCCCCCATGCCAGCAGGGAGGAGGCGGGCTGGAGGAACAGGTGCAGGGCGTGGAGCACCCTGAGGTCCCCCTCTAGGAGCCAGCCGAAATTCCTGCCATCTGTCGCTCCCCCAGGCTGGGAAGGGGCGGTCAGCCTGCTGGTGAAGGGCAGGAGGCCTCTGGGCAGGAGGGGAGGAGGCAGGGAGAGGCGTGCGTGGCAGGCAGGCAGGCTCACGGGCAGAGAGCAGCGCTGGAGCAGGCGGGGACAGCCAGGGGTGCGAGAGAGGCAGGGACACAGGGGGGCTGGGCCGGCCGGGAGCCAGCGCTGGGGGCACGGCCTCAGGAACGTGGCAGAGCGCGGGAGAGGCCCGGGCACCCCTGCCAGACCCTCGATGGGCTGTGTTCACAGACGTGTGTGGGTTTCAGTGTGGTCCCTTCAGACACAGGGAGGACCCCAGCTCAGCCTCCGCTCTGCCCCCCTTCCACCTCCCTCCCCAGCCGGCCGGGGCTCCGGGCTGGGGCCGGCGGGCAGGCCCAGCCTGGCTACTTGAAGGTGGACTGCAGCTCCTTGAAGGCGGCCTTCCGCTGCTTCATCTCCTCCGCCTGCTTCTTGCGCTCCTCCTGCTCCGCCTTGATCTCCTCCTCGAAGCGGCTGGACACGTTGATGGCCTGCACCTGGCGGAGGGAGGCGGTGACGGCGGAGGGCTGGAGGGGTCTCTGAGGCTCCACCACATGGGCTTTTTCTGGGGTCCGCCCAGCAGTGCCCACACGGCTCCCCCGCTCACTGCCCTGGGCCGGGCCCTTCAGTCACTGCTGGAGCCTCCGTGTCTCCACTGAGAGCCTGAAGCTCGTAACTCTGACCCCGTGGATTCGCTGGCAGAGATAACACAGGCTCAGCGGCTGCTGTGC